TGGAGCCTGTTTCCGATTCTGTGTCTCCCTCTCTCTCTGCCCCTCTCCCGTTCATGCTCTGTCTCGCTCTGTCCCAAAAATAAATAAAAACGTTGAAAAAAAAATTAAAAAAAAAAAAAAAGAAATTACTTATTTAAAACAGATTTTTTATTGTAGGTCATCTCGGAGAATTTAATATTTTATTGGGCACTGTGAATGTCTAGGCTGTAGCACTGAGGTTTCCTGCATTTTTTTTGACCCAAGAACCCCTTTTTCTTGCCTATACACATTGGCGTCTCTTGAGACTGATTTTGTAGAAAAACTCCTCATGATAAAATGCATGCACACAATAAGGTGTCATTGTTTTGACGGATCACAACCTATGGTGGGAGGGGGAACCAACACATAAGGCTTCCTGTTAAACAAAGTGTTTGATTATAATGATGAATAATGGTATATTTAGACAAAATGATTGAAGTGGCTTGTTGATAATAGATGCGACTTTTACTTACATAACATGTGGTATCATTTATTAATTTTTAAAAAAAAATTTTTAATGTTTATTTTGAGAGAGAGAGAGAGACAGACAGAGCATGAGCAGGGGAGGGGCAGAAAGAGAGGGAGACACAGAATCTGAAACAGGCTCCAGGCTCTGAGCTGTCAGCACAGAGCCGGAAGCGGGGCTCAAACCCATGAACCATGAGATCATGACCTGAGCTGAAGTCAGACGCCCAACCGGCTGAGCCACACAGGTGCCCCATGGTATCATTTAATTAACTAACAATAGAACCGATTATTATTTATTATTTAGATTTTACCCTTTCATGATTCCTTGTTACAGACGGTTTTACTTAAAGATGTATATATTAGAGAGGTGAATAGGATTCATGCTCATTAATAAAGGCATTAAACTCACCGTTTTGTTGTACTGGATTTCTAAAATGATAAAGATAATTACTTTTGTTGATATAACTGTAGTTTGTGAAATCCACCGTTGAAATATAATTCAGTGAGATGGAGTTTTTTTTTTTTTTTTAAGTATACTGGGAAATAAAATTGTCTCTGAAGAAGATTCTACTTTGCATTTTGAAATTTGATTTTACAGTCACAGTGATCAGAACATCATTCAATTCAAACAAAAGAATTAAATCTAGAGAATCTGCCACATTCACATTAAATGTCTAGTTCCAAAACACCTCGTACACAAATTTGGATGGAATGTGGTCACTGCTTCCCCAGTGTTACTTGAAAGACCAAAATAATATGCTGTTCACCATTATATGATAAAAATTCAGCACTATTCATTTTCAGAGAGCATCTTTAATATAAATGTGTAATTTATTTATTTTTTTAAATGTTTATTTATTTATTTTTGACAGAGAGAGAGAGAGCGCGCGCGCGCGCGCATGAGCAGGGGAGGGGCAGAGAGAGAGAGGGAGACACAGAATCTGAAGTGGGCTCCAGGCTCCGAGCTGTCAGCACAGAGCCCTAGGAGGGGCTGGAACTCACGGAGTATGAGATCGTGACCTGAGCCGAAGCCGGACGCTCAACCGACTGAGCCACCCAGGCGCCCCATATTTTTTTATATTATAGTATCCTTCTAAGGGGACTTCAGTACTCCTAAATGGATTCTAGGCATAATCACCTTATCCCCAGATGGGAATGGGCCCCATTTATGCACCAAACAGATGCAGTAGCATATGATAAAACAGCTACCTCTAAGTCAGCGACCTCTTTCCGCTTTTAATTTTTCCTGAGGTGTTGGGCTGAAAGGGGAATTATCCCCAAGTGTTCTCTGTGATTGCTGTCAGAGAAGCGTTGCGATGGCATGTTTAAACAAGTATAAAAGTGATCCTGGGACACAGAATGATGGCTGTTGAAGCAGCCAGATTCACACATTTGTGTGGCTTCTGGCTTGTCAAACTGTGCATTTTCCCTTTAGGCTCTGAGGAAAGGAGGATGAAATGGGGTTGAGGAAGGTTTGGAAGATTAGCTGGGGTAGGGGACCTGAAGAACAAAATATATGTGTGTGTATATATGTACATATATGTGTGTGTTTATGTGTGTGTGTGTATAGAGAGGGAGAGAAAAAAGAACTTATACCATGTTTGTAGGTCTAAGCTAAGAAAGAGAGAGTAGCCTTTTTTTTTTTTCTTAAGTTTATTTATTTTGAGAGAGAGAGCACAAGTGGGAGGATGGGTAGAGAGAATGAGAGACAGAATCCCAAGCAGGCTCCAGGCCATCAATGCACAGCCCGATGAGGGGCTCGAGCTCATGAACCCATGAGATCATGACCTGAGCTGACACCATGAGTCAGACACTTAACCAACCGTGTCACCTTGGTGCCCCAAAAGAGACTGTAGTTTTAAATTGATTTTTAATGTGTAGATTAAGACACGGAACTGAATGTAGGAATGTACTTTAGACTGTGTGTTAAGACTCGAAAAGATAATAAGAATTAACTGGAAACAATTCCCATGTTCATCAGCTGACGGATGGATAAAGACATTGTGGCTCGTCCGTGTAAAAGGAATACTGCTCAGCAATAAAAGGAATAAGCTACTGATGCGTGCCACAACATGGATGAATCTTAAAAACATCATACTGAATGAAAGCTGTCGGGCAGGGTGCCTGGGTGGCTCAGTTGGCTTAGTGCCCAAGTCTTGAGTTAGGCTCAGGTCATGATCTCATGGTCGTAAGATCAAGCCTCATGCCCGGCTCCGTGCTGGATGTGGAACCTACTTAAGATTCATGCGTGCTGTCTCTCAAAAAAAAAAAAAAAATGCCGTCAAACACAAAAAAACCACATGCTGTATGTTTCCCTTTGGATGAACTTCAAGAAACAGCAAAAAGAACAGATAACAGACCAGTGATTTCAGAGGTGGGGAGTAGGAGTCATTATTGACCACACAGAGGCAGGAGGAAACTTTTCCAGGTAATAGAAATGTTCTATGTGATAATACTAGTTTTACGTATTTGCCAAACCCCATCAAATTCTACACTTAACGTTGCTAAAGTTTATTATATGTAAATTATACCTAAAATAAAACTGGTTAAAAAGAAAGTATGATATGAAAAAAAGGTATAATAGAATGCACTAATAAGGAGAGAGGGGATCCTAGAATTTAAACAATTTCTGTAAATGACCAGAAAAATCATGGGGTAGCTGAGTTTCCTCCAGAATATGGGAAAGGATGAACATCAGATAAAAAAAGGAAAGTGATGATGGAAGATAAAAATTATGACATTTTTTAAATAAAGTATATATTTTTTAATGTTTATTGATTTAAAAGAGAGAGAGAGAGAGAGTGTGTGTGTGTGTGTGTGTGTGTGAGAGAGAGAGAGAGAGAGAGAGAGAGTGTGAGATCAGGAAAGGGGCAGAGAGAGAGGGAGAGAGAGAATCCCAAGCAGGCACTGCACTGAGCACATGACCATGAGATCACAACCTGAGCCAATATGAAGAGTTGGACGCTTAACCAAATGAACCACCCCGGTGACCCCAAAATGGTCAAGATAAACCTTTTATCAAGATAAACCTTAAGTTATTCTTAATCGTTGTAACTGTTTAATATATAAACCGCCTAGCCTATTACTTAGCTCATAGAAGGCACTTAATAAATGCTGAGTGCTATTATTTTTTCTGTACATTAAGAATGCCTAGATAGCCTAGTGGGAATTGTGACTATATAGACAGAAGCTTCCTCCTACTTACCTGTGAAGACAGCCTATGAGTGAGCTGGTTTTGATAATCTGAAATACACAAAAGGACGTGGAATTTGTCAGTGACTTGTTTAGGGCAGTCAACAAACTACAACGTATCACAGAAGCTGAATATTAGAGCATCATTTCACAGACACATTCTTAGCTTTGTGGTATATGTCAAATCATTTCTAAGCCATCTTAATCCATTGTGAGACGATCGTAAGAACTTTGTATCTGATGAGAGTTAAGAGTTCTAAAGTTTGCAGGCATTCAACAGAAGTAATGGCTGTATGTGTAAACGTTTATTTCGAAATGTTTCTTGGTCATGTGAGAAATTAGTAGTGTGCCAACAATGACCATAGGAGTGTGAGACTCAAGTTAACTTTGATCTTCACATGTGTTGTGATAGAGAAAATATAATAGCCAACATTTATTGACTTCGTAATGTGCTTAGCACTGATTGTGCTAAATAAATTTCACATGTTATTACTGTTAAAACTCATCACCACCTTAGGGAGACACAGATAAGCAAAGAGGTTGCACAAGTATTAAGCAGATCAAAATTTTTATCTGACTCCAACAGTTGAGAACCACTGATGTAGACTGTAGGACAAAGCTGATGAGTTTTATCAGAGCTGGATTGCTGATACTGTGTGTTTGGTTGCACTTGACCTATCCTGAGAATATGGGATGGAGAAAGATAATTAATCTGGTCTAGACTGTCTGAACCTCAAATAATAAGTTCATAGAATAGCAATCTATACTAAATGGTCAATAAATGATTGTTGAGTGAATTGGTAGCTCTATACATTTGAATTCTTAGAAAGTAGGATTTATATACTACATTCTTAACATAGAAAAGGTACCGAACAAAGCATAAGGTTAATGTTGGATTATGGTGCATAATTTATTTTCAGAACTGTTCATCTGACCACGTCTATTCACAAGTCCATTTTGGGGCAATGGCATAGACACACTACTGTGTAAGATTGCTGGCATTTGCAATAACTTGAGTTTTGATAAACCTTTAATTATATTTTAGGTTTATCAAACTGAGACAATTGTTGATCGTAAATGAGAAAAACAGTTAGTATGCAAACTCTAATGGGTACATTTATCATTTTCTTATCATACTGAGCTTCGAGCTTATTGTCTATTTTCCAAGAAAGTAGAAATGCTGTTTCTTAGAATAAAAATGTTTTTTATAATGTGAGCAGTAGATTCAAGCTGTACAGATTGGCTCTTTAATGAAATAGGCAACATTCCAATGGAACTGACAAGCTTTATTTCTATTTGTTGTATTTTCTTTCTCATTACAGATGGACCCGATTCAGAAAGCTGTAATAAATCATACATTCGGGGTTCCTCTTCCTCATCGAAGAAAGCAAATCATATCATGCAACATTTGCCAGTTGAGATTTAATTCTGATGTAAGTTTACCATTTAGTATTCACTGAAAAAATGTATTATGCTGTTCTAATCTTGCAGAAGAGATTCCTTAAACATTTTTCTTCAGTAACTGAGCATGTCAAAATTCAAAGATAATATTTTTAACTCCTTACGTCCTTTAATTTCGGAGTTTATTGTATTATTTTTGGTTGCTTACTATGGGAACATCACACATATACAATATTTTGTACTTGCACTTTAATGGTATTTTATACTCTCTTGGGAATGCTAACTTTAGGTAATACACTTCCCTTTGGGGAATAGTCAAATTTAGGACCAATGAGACTTTTAATAAACTATTCCTCTGAAGTAAGATAGGTCCCAAATTGTATCTCAAGGCCAACATTTTGCTTTGTAAATTTTTTTACCTGCCTTGGTGGTTCCCAATTCCAGATCAGCTCTTGTGTCCTTGATGATATTTGTGATAGAGCTCTTAAGTTATAACCCCAGAAGTATTAGCATTTTAATAGGGAGTCTAAAAGACCTCAAAGCACTCAAGCCCCTGATGAATAAAACTTATGTGGAAAACATGATAGAAAGGAGACATTTGTAGACCTGACCAGTGCTTTGCAAATTTTTCACAGAGAATTATTCGTACTTTCCATACCTTTTCTAAGGGTCAGAAAATCTCTGGATTCATCACAGTGAAGCTAATTTTGGCCTGTGGCCAATGTGAAAAATACTGCCTGCCTGCTTTGGTGTGGAGTTGGTGCTGAAAGATAAAGAAAAGAGAAGGAATGCTGGTTTAGAAGGACTAGGAATAGAATACTTTTTGATACCATAGGCAAACAGAGGATGGTAAAGTAACTCCTCTAAGCTGGCATTATCTTGCCCTAAATTGATGTGCGGTGTGGAGATGACCAAATGGATCTGGATTCTGGAGAATGTTAGGCTTTCGAAAATTTCATCTTTCTAGGCAAGTGGGTCCTGTAGAAGCTCTGATGGTGAGAAGAGCATACAAAGTAATCAGGCACAGAAAATAGACATGACAGTAATAAAGCATCTTTTTTCTTCTGTGAGGATGTTTCATTTTGTTTAAGGATTGCTACTATCTTATGAACTCATAGTAAAATCATCAGGTAGTTTTATAATATTTCTTCTGTTGGCTTAGAAAAGAGTAGATTGCCAGCATAGCACCTGAATGGTATTTGTAGATATAAAAAAAGGGTATACTAGACATATGGCATTTTATTTAAAGAGTGGTTTAGGGGTTTTTGTTTTGTTTTGTTGTTTGTTTTAAAATACTGAGTGCTTTGATTGGATTTGAATTTTAAGACATTTGCCATAGTTTAATTTAATAACAGAAAATCTTTTCAACTGATAAATATTATATAATAATCTCCTCCAACTGTTGTAAAAAAAGGAAGAAAGAAAGAGTCCTCTCGACTTGTAAATTAGAGTTCTGAACTCAAAAGTTGCAATTTTGATCATTTCTAAACATTTAACAAGAAATCATATAGTTCTGTAATTGCTATTTTAAGTGGCTCTTTCTCGATTTCTTTCCTTCTTAAATTGTATCGATATTTCACTTTGGAACTGATCAGATAATGATATAAAAGTCTCCCAGGAGCCATATTGTCAGCTTCTTACATCTAATGGGGGCTATTTCAGTATCTCCTCCTGCCAACAATTTCACTGTCAATATTTTCCTCTGTGTTAAGTAAACTTCCTGTAAACTGGGAATCAGAAAGACACTTCAAGCTCGTTGAACCCAATCTCCTACTAAATTTAAGAAAACCATCTGCCGCATCCAGGCTCGGTCTTTAGTTGGTTCTCTCCAGCTATGGGTCACTCACAACTTAAAGACAAATGTTCCTTTTTTTGTTGTTTTTGTTTTTGTTTTTGTTTCTGTTTTGAATGTTCCTAATTCTGTAGATGGCTATCAAAGTCATATTTGGAGTCTTTAGAATTACTACTGGGTATGCATTAACATTAACATAATAGTTTCTTCTTATAAAATGTCATCTTGTTTTATTAAATGTAATCTCGTTTTATTTTCTTTTTTTTTTTTAATTTTTTTTTTTCAACGTTTATTTATTTTTGGGACAGAGAGAGACAGAGCATGAACGGGGGAGGGGCAGAGAGAGAGGGAGACACAGAATCGGAAGCAGGCTCCAGGCTCCGAGCCATCAGCCCAGAGCCTGACGCGGGGCTCGAACTCACGGACCGCGAGATCGTGACCTGGCTGAAGTCGGACGCTTAACCGACTGCGCCACCCAGGCGCCCCTCGTTTTATTTTCTTGATGAGAGAATAGCAATTTATTTTGCTAATGAAGTTTCAAGGTGATACAGAAATCAGTATGTATTTATTGGGGAAAGTTGCTTCTCATTCTCACAGTTTTGTTTTCAGGTATGTACATGACATGTGGTCCAAGGAAAATGGCCAAGGTATTTGGAGAAGTTAGACTAATCAGTCTGGGCCATAATCACACAATTGCAGACTTGACCATTCACTAGATGGTTACTGCATTTATCTTCTATTGCTGCTGTAACAAACCATGGCAAACAGTGGTTTAAAACATAAATGCGTGATTTTACAGTTCTGGATGGGAAGTCAGAAATGGGCCTCACTGTGCTATAAGCAAGGTGTTGGCAGGGTTATGTTCTTTCTAGAGGCTCCAGGGGAGAATTCAGTTCCTTGCCTTTCTTTTCCAGATTCTAGAGGTCACCCTGTTTCCTTTGCTCATGACTCCCTTCCATGTTTAGAGCAAGCAATGACCAGAGGAATCTTTCTCACATTGAATGACTCTGACCTTCACTTATCTGACTGCTTCTTCATGTTTAAGGACCCTGATGAACACAATGAATTCATCTGGATAATCCAGGATAATTTCTCTGTTATAAAATCAGCTGATTAGCAACCTAATTCCATCTGCTAACTTAATCCCCCTTTGTCATATAATAAAACGTATTCATAGTTTCCAGGGATTAGGACTTAAATACCATTATTCTGCCTAGCATGGATACTCATTCAGATGTTTGGCTTAGATTTGAACTGAATTTTATGGCCACTTGAATTTATCAGGTAATTACCCAGTATACTTTTGTTGCTGTATATAAACTGGACACATGTGAATTCATTGCTTTTACATTTTTATCTTGAACCTTAAATATAAATTCTCTATACAGTGTTAATTTTTAAAATTGCAGATTAACAAAAACAGGAAGACCCAATGTTATTGATCTTATAAATGACATAGCAACATTTTACCTATGATTTACAAACAAAATATAATTATTGCAAAGTTGAAATACAGGAGTGGAAACTCTCTTAGAGACTTAAAAATGTCTCTGTAGCATTATTATGTCAATAAGGGAAACTAATGTGCAGGAAATATGAGATTTGTTTACTATTGGCTGGTCATGTCCATAAATAGCAGTTTTATTTTTTTTTTATTTTTTTTTTAACGTTTATTTATTTTTTTGGGACAGAGAGAGACAGAGCATGAACGGGGGAGGGGCAGAGAGAGAGGGAGACACAGAATCAGAAACAGGCTCCAGGCTCTGAGCCATCAGCCCAGAGCCCGACGCGGGGCTCGAACTCACGGACCGCGAGATCGTGACCTGGCTGAAGTTGGACGCTTAACCGACTGCGCCACCCAGGCGCCCCCATAAATAGCAGTTTTATAAAATATTCAATACTGAATGCCAAGATCAATTGTATTTATCATCCATTCATCCACATATAAGAAAATAATCTCTAAATTAAGAGAAAATACAAATGTTTTCTAGATAGATATAGATACATGTCACATTTGACCATTTTAATCCCAGGAAAAAGGCTTTATAATCCCGTTACAACTGCATCTACTCCTTCCAGGTAAATCTGGAATTTATTGTCCTATTTCCATTATTAAACGTAGAATTATTCTGAAAAAGTAACACTGTAATTTACTTGTATGCTTGGTTGCATCCTTAATCACATAGGAAAGTATTTTTGCCTTATGAACCTTTTTACATTTCAAAGCTTCTTCCCTTTCCAGTGAAAATAATAGCTTGTATTTCTTTTCATCTCCGCATCATGAAAATTCAATTTCCTTTCCTCTATGCTTTTATTTATCTTTTAACCCTTCATATTATAAACTGTGGAGTTTGGTTTTATGCTATTGCTATTTCCTGTACAGTACATTTTCTATTTTTGGCCCTGGAGATATCTTTTTAAATGGCATATCATACTGTATGTACTTTAAATGAGATTGCTTTCTTCTGGCGTAGGCTTTTTCTTTGAAAAAAACTTTTCTTGACATTTACATGAAACACACATAGAGGTTATGCAAAAAGTTCCCAGTTAAAGACCAAAAGATTATAAATTGTCCAGTTATTTTATCAGCATCTTAAAATAAGCATAAATTGCCATTGACCTGGGCAAGCTATTAAGTGTACCTTTGAAAGACAACTTATAGCGGGACCAGTATGGACACAAGGTTATTTAGCGAGATACAGAATGATTACTTGATGACTATGTATAAGAGTGGAAAGTAAGGTCTCAGGCCCCAAACTAAAGAATGATTAGGTTGTAGCATCTAAGAGTCACTACGATTAACCTCCTGACACTAATGTTTCATAATATGTTAGAGACAGAAGAAAATGTTTGCTGATTTCCCATGTGGAAACTGAAATGCAGAGAATATAGGAGACATACAAGGGCCACCTGGCCAGTCACTGGCCACACAAAGTCAGCGTCCACACTCATCCACTGTTTCTGCTCTGTCTGGTCCAGGCAGAGTAGCAGGTCCATCCAAAGTCTCCAGCCAATCCTATGGTAATGGTGTGGCTGGAGATCTGCATGTTCCCAGAGAGAAGGCATAGGGGCTCGTTCCTTCTTGGAACTAACTGGATGTGACAGCTGTTGTAGAGGTCATCTACGCCTGAGTGAGGCCTTGCCCACAAGTGCTTGTGAGTACACTCAAATGGCATCACCCATATTCAGTCACACAATTTAATCATAAACACCATGAAAATTTCAATGTAGATGCAAATT